CTTCTTGTGTATCCACTGTCAGAATATCGTCGTGAAGAACTGGCTGCCGTTTCGTTAAGCATTCCCTGTTGGTGAATAGCAGGTCTTCGTAATGAAGGATTAAGGCTTCCGAAACACATTTGGTCAGAGACGTGGTTGGATTTTGTTGAGTTTACATGGACCACCGACCAATTTCCGTAAGGGATTAAATAGCCAAATTTTTCCGACCGATATCCCGATTCCACGTGCCCAAAAAGTCCCCGAATAGTTCCAAGGTATGCTATAATTCTTCTGCCTATTCTAAGTCAATGCTCAACTGATTTTTATTCGTATTGTTGACTGGTTTTCAGACTTTTCACGCCCACGTGGTGTAGAAAGATTAGTTGAGTGTTATCTTTCTTAAGTCTTATTTGGTTGTTCGTAATTGTAGAGCAAGAAGACCTGATCCAAATCTGTACAGCATTAGAACAAGTCCAGAATTCCATCCGTTCCTGTTGCCGGTGTGTAGAGTTACCCGTTGGACATCATAAACCCTCGTTGAGGTAAAGTTCTTCTTGATTAGTCCTTCTTTATTACCTTTATTAACTCCTACACGTTGTGCTAGTCCTTGTTCTATAATTGAGGCTCTTTTCTAAGACAACCAATGTTATTTAGGGTTTTTATGTTCACCTTTTGAAGTCCTACACCTGCCTGTACATTTGCTGAAGGGCTCCAGTGACAGTACCCCGAGCTGCTGTACACCGCCGTAGCAACCCTGTAGCTATACGCCGTAGCTCAGCCGGAGGAAGTTTTGAATATCACATCGAGTAGAGTAAGACTGTACAATTTTAGTTTAGATTTAGTTTGATATTTGTAATCCACCCAGGATATTGTACTTAGTTTAAGTAAGGGGGATTATGACGTCATACTTTTAGTTAGTTTTCTTGATTTAAATTTTATTCTACTTTTCAACGTTCATTCATTTCCATTTCTTTAGATATTAACTTTTAATATTTTAATAAATTGCTTAAATATTTTTAGTAGTATTATTTACAGTCTAGTCTCATAGTTATGTTAGAGTCACTTAAGTACAAATAGTTATAGAATATTTGAAGTTCATGATAGTTGCACTCAACAGTTCGAGGTTAGTGTTGAAGTCTACTTAATAGTTACATCTTTTATGCCGAGTTCATAGAGTATAATCTCGTGGCGCCCTTTTATTAATATCTTTGAACCCCGACCACCCGGCTGTTAAAATTAAAAAGCTAGTGGCCTCTATGTAACTCATTCTGCATTAAGTAAACTTGTGTTTTATTGAACTTCAGATTAAGAAAGGGCGTGGCAATAATAAGAATACATGACATATCCATAGAAAAATAGCTTGACATAACTCAACAATAGGTTATGAAATTCCCGTAACATTGACATTTTTCATCATTTTATCCACATTGTTTGACTATTCGATACCTGAGAAATTGCGATTGAATATCCTGTATGATATTCAATTACCATATTTATAGCAAAGTAAGTACAGACCATCTAAAGTAAATACCTAATATAGTTTTCATTTCAGGACACTTTTGTATTTGCAATAATTTTTTTAAGGCAGGTTGAAAAAATACATTTTTATTTATTTATTAATATCTCTGAAACTATCGAAATATATTTAATGATATCTTATGATTAAGTAATTATTAGAAGTGAATTATAATTAAAAGTATTAATGTAAAGTGATCTGAAAGGAAGCCAAAAATGCAATTATATACAGGGTGTACCATTAAAAAAATCACCCTAATTTACCATTTTTGAGCCACTCTATAGAAGTTAAAATATTTTCATGAAATACATCCTAGTACATACTTTAGGTCTGCACTTTAGCAAAATTCCCAAGTTTTTTATTTTTATTTTAGGAGCTACAGATGTCCGACGCAGTATTGCCGAATCATATACACGGTGCTATTTATTGTTCTATCTTTTAATGGGACTTGTAAAAAAAATCTTTTAATGGTAAATGTAAATTTGATTGTGTCCAAGCTACAAATTTCTTCTCGATAAAAAGTAATGAAATATTTTTTTGTCCAACGATTTTGTTATCACTCATTATATCTACTCTCATCCCTGGATTAAGGGGGGGGGCTATGGGGACTATAGCCCCAGGCCCCGTCATTGAGAGGGGCCCCCAAATTAGGAGAATTTAAAATCGAGATTCATAGAGTTAAATCGAGATTAGTTAAATGAAAATGTACATATATTACGAAAAATACCGATTTGTAACAAAAACCGATTTTTCGTCACATATTGTTATAAATCTTCAATTTATTATAAAAGTAACTAAAACTGTATTTTAAAACAATAAAAAATAAAATCCAGCCTGGAACATCTGCAACAATGCAACAGAAATATATTTAGTCTTATTAAATATATTGCAACAGCCAACTTGTCATTCTCATAATGTCAAAAACAGACTCTTTTCTTTTCTTTTGGGCGGCAAAACACTTTCCCAAAAAAAAATATTAAAGAGTGCTGCATAGACAATGGCTCGTTCTTCTTTTTAAATTTTTCTGGATGGATGGATTACCGAAAGCCGAAAAGCGCTAGGGAATTACTCAGATTAGATTCCTCTATTTTATTCTATTTGATTAGTTATTTTGCATAGCACATCTATGAAGTAAGTGATTGTGAATAATAGATTTAAGAAAACAAGAACAATAATACGTTTTTGAATTGTGTAGTGTATACCAGTATTTTAAAAAATGTCAAGTAGCAGAAAATATCTTAGTGGGTCTGCTAAACGTAAGGTAGGAATCAGTTTTAGCCTTATTACGCATTTACTGGATATGATCATTTATATAATAACTTTGGTATTAACAATTAAATTTACAATAACTTTCTTAAGTTTTTTCTTTTAAAAATAAGCGCATTAATATATTATAGGTACCTACTTTCTCTGGGCCGCTTACAAAAGATAAAAGACAAACAGATTGAAAAACAAAAAAGTCTCTCGTCATAGAGGCCATAAAATACTATTCCTTTTTTAAAAATAAACTTTATGAAAAATGAAAAAGGAATTCCCGTATGCTCATAAAATATAAAAAAAAATTCGAGAACTACTCAATTTTGAAAATTGCTAAACAATACTCGTATTAATCAGAGATATTGATGTTTTAAGAGTTTTAAGCCTTATTTTAAGCAACATTTTTCAATAATATACAGTGTGTTCCGAAACTATTATGCCAAAATGTAAGGATTGGCAGATCTCGCCAAAATATTTTGAAATGGGATACTAATGGTCGTAAGTGCATCGTTTTCAAAATAGGTGTTAAACTTTTAAGAAAAAATCTATACAGGGTGGCCCACTTTCCACCCCGGGTTTCTTGTTTGTAAATAAATAATTCGAAAAGTGCTCGGACACGTCGATTTTGTTTTTCAGGGAGGCTTATTTTTTTTGGTATTTGCACTCTCTTTGCTTGCACCCAGCTTGACAGGGGTAGCTATCACCCTTAAAATTTTAAATGGAATAGAGGGGTCGAGTGATACCTTGTTTTAAAGGTCTTTTGAGTCTTTTTATATCTGTAGAGTTTGAAGTCTCTAATGCAATTCGCGTTGAATGGTACGCCACTACTTTTTAAATAAAATTAATATTATTTTGAAATACCCATTCGATTTACAACATATTTTTATTTCTTGGCTTTTTTGTCCGACGCACCGTTTCCGCGTAAAAAATAAAAAGCCATTTTCATGCATGACCAAATCGCTAAAATGTTATCATAAATTTTAATGGCAAAATTTGTAAAACGGCAAATTTAAGTTTAAAAAGATTTTTTATTTTCCAAAACTTCTTTCTATGAACATACTACGAACTAAAATGCCCAAAAACCTAAATTGTCGTTTTTCAAGTTTTACCATTAAAATTTACATTACCATTTTTTATGATTTGGTCATGTATGAAAATGCCGAATGGTTTTATTTTTTTAAGCGAAAGCGGTTGTAATAATATTCAATTCAATAAGGGTTGTTTAAGTACCGTAGGGTGGTATACAGTGGTGTAATAGATGTTAAAAAGATCGATTTTTTTTTCTTGAAAGTTTAACACCCTGTATTTTGAAAACGACGCATTTCCGACCATCAGTTTTGGCGAGATCTACCTACCTTTAAATTTTGATACAATAGTTTCGGAACACCCTGTATTTTAAATCTACGAAAACTTAGGGATATTTTAAAATTAATTTCAGATTCAAGAAGAAAAACTAAAGAAAACTTTAATAATGTTGTTTTACATATTTTAAGATTTTAAAATTGACTAAAGTAACAGACTTTTTAGTATTTGCGAAACCCCTTTAACGTCAAATTCTGAGTTGAATAAAAATCAAGATCATGAACAACTGCCTTCCTGTTCAACTTCAAGCAATATTAGTTTAAGTGAAAATAACAGCAATGAGGAAAAATTAGTCCGACCTGGGGGCCCCAAGGGTAGCCTATAGCCCCGGGCCCCCTAGGACCTTAATCCGGCACTGTCTACTCTAGTCCATTATGAGTCTATTACGCTGTAGGAGAAACTGGGGTAAGATGACGATTGGGGTAAGATGATTAATGCCAAAATTTTCCATTATAAATAAATATTTTGATTTGTAAATTTGGCAACATCTAAAGCGTTGCATGCGGTATTAAGAAAAGACGGCCATTTGTCGCAGCAGTTTGTAGTTTAACGCACACGTGCCCGAATTGTTTTTCTCAACGGTTGTTATAATATTTTGGCTAAAGTTTTTAGTAGTTGTGCTTGTTAATGAGTAAGTACGATTTTCAATATTTTTACAAATAATATCCTGATATTAAGAGTAAACAACCAATGCTTGAATGTATTGATATTTTTTTGTTTCAACTTAGAAATAAATAAATAAGGTTATGTGTGCATGGGGGTAAGATGGCGGGGGTAAGATGACGACATCGTCATCTTGCCCCAAGATCGTCATTTTGCCCCATAAATATGTGTTATACCTTTTAGCGTCATAAATATCATTACTATAATATTGTTTTCATTACAGGATGCCGAGAAATTACAAACGAAAGACCAACCGTAGAAAATGGGATGAGGAATCCCGTAGGTTAGCGCTGCAAGCTGTCGAACAAGGTACCTTATCTTGTAATGCGGCAGCTATTAGATACAACATTCCTGAGCCAACGCTGAGGCGATGCCGAAAAAAGCAACTTACAGGAGAAGAACTTCCACATCATGCGGGTCGATTTAATCAAACTTTTACACCTCAACAGACTGCAGAATTTGTTCAATATATCACAGAATGCAATAGCCGTGGCCTTGGAATGACTTCAGTTCAAGTGCGAAAATTAGCTTTTCAATTTGCCGAGGAAAACAAAATACAACACAGATTTAATCGCGAAACCAAAACAGCAGGAGTTGATTGGTTTAACGGGTTTTAAAGCAATAACAACCGTCTTAGCCTGAAAACCCAGAAGCCACATCTGTTTGCTCGTCTTAGAGGATTCAACAAAGTCTCAGTTGAAATTTTTTTTTCTATCCTTAGAGAGGTTAAAGAAAAATATAATTTTACTCCTGATCGCATCTATAATGCCGACGAATCCGGTCTATCTACAGTGCCAACGAAACTACCAAAAATTTTAACGCCTAAAGGACAACGTCGAGTAGCCAAAATTGTATCCGCCGAAAGAGGCCGCACAACCACTTTAGTTTGTTCTATGAATGCTGTAGGTTCTTATGTTCCGCCTTATTTCGTATTCGCTCGTCAACGAATGAAACCTGAACTGTTAAATGGCTGCCCACCTGGATCGCAAGCAACGGCACAAAGTTCCGGATGGATGACGGCTGATAGTTTCCTGGCATATCTAAAACATTTTGTTAGATACGCAAAGCCTTCCGTTGATGACCCAGTGTTGTTATTGGTCGACAACCATAGCTCACACATTTCACTTCCAGGGATAAACTTCTGTAGAGAACATGGAATTATTCTGGTGGGATTTCCCCCTCACACAACGCATAAATTACAACCATTAGAGGTTTCTTTTTTCGGCCCCCTAAAAACCTACTACAATCAAGTGTGTGATGCTTTTCTGGTCAATCATCCTGGAGTAGTAATTTCTGACAGAAATATCGGTCCGTTATTTGCCGAAGCTTACTGTAAAGCTGCTACAGTAAGTAATGCTGTAAAAGGGTTTAAAGCATGCGGCATCGAACCATTTAATCCCCTAATTTTCGATGACAAAGATTTTGCTGCTGCAAGAACGACAGAACGCGATAATCCAGACGAAGACTTTGCATCACCATCACCAAGAAAGAGAAAATCCACAACCACTCCTTTAACCATTGACATACAGTCAGATTCTGATGAAGACTTTCCTTTATCTATCCTGGCAAAAAAAATAAAACTGAACCAAACACCAATGCAAAACAGTCGTGGATTAATTACAGCTAAGGAATTAGTTGAAGACAAATTAGAAAGCACTAAGCGAAAATTATTTGAAGATAACCAAAAAGCTTTGAAACAAATTAGGCCAATACCCACAGCCGAAAGCGCATCCATAACTCGAAAAAAAATGTCTGCCTCAATTATTAGTAGCACGCCTGTAAAGGAAGCTTTGGAAATAAAACAAAATGAACAAGCAGAAAAAGAGATGAAAAGAAAATTAAGATTGGAAAAAAAGGCTATGAGAGACAAAACAAATGAGGTAAAGGAAAAGAGAGCAGAGAAAAGAAAAAAACGTCAAGGACCCATACGTGACTACGATAAGGCTGGCCCAAGTGGTCTTAATTCTAATAATCAGAAGACATCTGATGGAAGTCACTACATGTGTCCGGGATGTAATGAATTATATACAGATCCTCCAATTGAAAATTGGATCCAATGTTCATCTTGTTCGTTGTGGTGGCACGAGGAGTGTTCTTCTTTTGAAGATGGCGATTTTTATTGCGATTTTTGCATTTAAGTCATCTTACCCCAATGTGTTCGTCATCTTACCCGTTATATGGGGTAAGTTGACTAAATTGACTTGTTTTTTGTTTTTGCTTTTTTAGAAAAAATGATTTAGTTTATGTGATTTTTGTTACCTATATAATATAGCAAACATGTTTGTAGTTTTGTAGTTTCAATATTGTTTCTTAAAATAAATATTTTCAAAGTTAATTTAGATTTTTCCCTTAGCATCGCCATCTTACCCCAGTTTCCCCTATACTGTTCGGTTATACGCTCTCAGGGATCGGGTAAAGAGGATGTATGGCCGCAGGAAATATCTATATATATAAATCTGACTGTCCTGACTGATACTGACTCATCAACGCCCAGACCAAACCCTTGACCCTAGAAAGCTGAAATTTTGCACAGGGGTTCCTTTTATGATATTTACGTGAGATAAGAAAGGATTTTTAAAATTCATCCCTAAGGGGGGGTAAAAGGGGTGGAATATTACAATATTTTTTTATTTAAAAACGGTCAAGTTTCCGAAAAACGCTTAAACACGTATATTTTATTTTCTTTTTACATATTTTAAGATTTTTAAAAATGTGTACAGGGTGTTTCGAAAAATCTGGTCAATGATTAATCACGATCCTGCATAAAGCGCTTGACTTAAAAGCTGATTTTGGAAAACGGATTGACTTTAGGGTGTAGAGGTTCGATAAGAAAGAATTTTCGAAACTCGAATTCTAAGGGGTGAAACCACCCCTTAAATATTAGAATATTTTTATTTAAAAACCGGTGAGTTTTCCGAAAACTCTTAAACACGTTTATTTTATTTTGTTGTTTTACATATTTTAAGATTTTTAAAAATGTATACAGGGTGTTTCATAAAATATGGTCATTGAGTAATCACGATTCTGCTTAAACTGCTTGACGTTTAAAGCTGATTTTTAATGACGGATTGACTGTGGGGTGTAGAGGTTCGATAAGAAGGGTTTCTCGAATCTCAAATTCCAAGAGGGTGAAAACGCCCCTCAAATAATCTATACTAATATATAAAATTCTTAAGTGACTCACTGATTAATCACGGTCCTGCTCAAACCACTCAACGTAAGAAGCTCAATTTTGGCATACAGGTTGATTCTAAGGTGTAGTGGTTCGATAAAAGGGATTTTTCGAAATCCCAGTTCAAGGGGGTGAAACCACCCCGCAAGTATTACCATATTTTTTATTTAAAAACGATCAAGTTTCCGAAAAAACGCTTGAACACGTATATTTTATTTTGTTTTTTTACATATTTTTAAGATTTTTAAAATGTATACAGGGTGTTTCGAAAAATCTGGTCATTGATTAATCACGATCATGCTTAAAGCGCTTGACGTAAAAAGCTAATTTTTGGAAAACGGATTGACTTTAGCGTGTAGAGGTTCGATAAGAGGGGATTTTTCCAAACTCGAATTCTAAGGGGGTGAAACCACCCCTCAAATATTAGAATATATTTTATTTAAAATCCGGTGAGTTTTTCGGAAAAACTCTCAAACACGTATATTTTATTTTGTTGTTTTACATATTTTAAAATTTTTTCAAAATTTATACAAGGTGTTTCATAAAATAGAACCATTGAGTAATCACGATTCTGCTTAAACTGCTTGACGTTTAAAGCTGATTTTGGAAAACGGATGGACTGTGGGGTGTAGAGGTTCGATAAGGAGGGGTTTCTCGAATCTCAAATTCCAACAGGGTGAAAACGCCCCTCAAATATTACAATATTTGTTATTTAAAAAACGGTTAATCTTTCGGGAAAACGCTTGGACACGTATAATTTATTTTGTTTTTTACATATTTTGAAATTTTTGTAAAAAATCATACAGGGTGTTCCAAAAAATTAGGTAATTGATTAACCACGATTCTGCTCCAGTTTGTATGTTAATGGAAATTCTTGCTTTGCTTTATCATATCACCATTACAAATTACAAATGATTAATTCGACGTGAACGAAGTCGCGGGTACATGCTAGTATATAATATTTCAGAAATTTGCCTAAGGCTTATCCTGTCATGTTTAGCTACACCTAAAATTCCATACACACGTGCTTTGATTAAGGCTTGATTAAGCTTTGCAGAGCTTCAGCATTTGCCATAAAATAGCGAGCAATTTATTACAAAACCATATAAATTATATATCACTGTAATCACAAAACTTCAATCTTTATTTTCGAGAAAATTTAGTCCAAACATAAGGAACATTTTGTTGATGTTTGACCATCAAAATCTTAAAAATAAAGAAGTTGTACCAAAAAGTGCTGCAATATGGATATAGTATAATCCTTTATCTTTAATTTCCTTCTTCATTTGTGAAAAATACCTTGCCAGTTTTACATAAAACGTTAAATGCCGAACGCTTATTTTGCTACTTTTTAAGCAGTATTACAATACTACTAAGATATGCGACGCGGAGATATCGCTATAAAAATTTTAAGAATCCCATGTCAAATAGTTACCGCGACTATAGTAAAAGTCTCCACATCAAAACACCATATTTGGACTAATCTCAACAACCCGAAATACTTTCAATGGCATCAAAGCGACTATTTAACCATTTGAATGCCTAACGGTCTCGTTTTATTTTATTACCTCACCGACAAAGCCCTCAAAACGACAAAAATCTCCCGAAATTTCTCCATTATCCATTTATTTTGACCTCGCTATACCCCAAAATTGCCCCAGCGCCACAGAATCCGTGACCTGCTGCGACCGACCGACGTTCGCTATGAAGAGAGATGGGAAAAAAACAAAAGACGATAAAAAATGTGACGAACGGCGGAAACGGACGCGAAAAAAAATTGAAACGCGAGAAACAAAAGAAGGAGATGCGGGGGCGCGATACGTACCCGCGGCACTCTATGATGTGAGCGGCGCGTGATGTTATGCGGACAAATGACGGACGCATCGGGTACGTGATCCGAACGGTAGATGGTTCGGTACGACGTTGCGGAGAACGTGGGACAATAGTAGTAATGTCAATTTAGAAAGAAAAATTAAAGATCTTGTAGCAGAGAGCTAGAAGTTTGCAATGTTTGCATATTTGCTGGTATCACATAAAAACGCACCTCTTCCTAGACTAAATAAAAAAAACTGAAAAATATTAAAACCTAAAAAACATTTATCCAGTTGTATGTGTATAGCGTGTGGTGCATCGGATTACGGAACATAGGAAATCCTAGGAGTTCGTAGAACTTTCGTCTAGCAGAGTTCTAGAACGTTTAGTTCATTTTGGTACTGCATTAGATAATGTCTGATAGAGCTCGAAACAACAATGTAGCAATTTCATTTTGAGTAATTGTTTAAAAAAAGTGTATACAGGGTTCTTTCGAACTGGATGGAATGTGTCCATCAGCACTTTACCATTAGCTGAAGAAGTATGATTCTTCGTTTGTGAGGTATAAATTCATTATTAAGTAACATTATTATCATCAAAAGAATATGTTAAAACCGACTTATAACGAGTAAACTTTCCTGGACTGGGTCCTTTTGAACTGGATGGCATGTGTCCATCAGCAGTTTACCATTAGGTGAAGAAGTATGATTCTTCTGCTGTGGGGTATAAATTCATTATTAAATAACATTATTATCATCAAAAGAATATATTAAAACCGAATTATAACGAGAACATTTCCTGGACTGGGTTCTTTCGAACTGGATGGAATGTGTCCATCAGCAGTTTACCATTAGCTGAAGAAGTATGATTCTTCGGTTGTGGGTAATAAATTTATTATTAAATAACATTATTATCATCAAAAAAATTAATAAAACCGAGTTATAACGAGAAAACTTTTCTGGACTTGGTCCTTTTGAACTGGATGGCATGTGTCCCTCAGCAATATACCATAAGCTGAAGAAGTATGATTCTTCGGTTGTTAAGATTATTATCATTAAAAAGATATATTAAAACCGAATTATAACGAGAAAACTTTCCTGGACTGGGTCCTTTCGAACTGGATGGAATGTGTCCATCAGCAGTTTGCCATTAGCTGAAGAAGTATGCTTTTTCCATTGTGGGGTATAAATTCATTATTAAATAACATTATTATCGTCAAAAGAATATATTAAAACCGAATTATAACGAGAAAACTTTCCTGCACTGGGTTCTTTCGAACTGGATGGAATGTGTCCATCGCAGTTTACCATTAGCTGAAGAAGTATGATTCTTCGGTTGTGGGGTATAAATTCATTATTAAATAACATTATCATCGTCAAAAGAATATATTAAAGCCGAATTATATCGAGAAAACTTTCCTGGACTGGATCCTTTCGAACTGGATGGAATGTGTCCATCAGCAGTTTACCATTAGCTGAAGAAGTATGATTCTTCGGTTGTGGGGTATAAATTCATTATTAAATAACATTATTTTCATCAAAAATATATATTAAAACCGAATTATAACGAGAAAACTTTCCTGGATAGGGTCCTTCCGAACTGGATGGAATGTGTCCATCAGCAATTTACCATTAGCTGAAGAAGTATGATTTTTCGGTTGTGGGGTATAAATTCATTATTAAATAACATTATTATCGTCAAAAGAATATATTAAAACCGAATTATAACGAGAAAACTTTCTTGGACTGGACCCTTTCGAACTGGATGGAATGTGTCCATCAGCAGTTTACCATT